AAACACAGCAGAAGGAGGCAATCCCGGGCCTGAGGGAAAGGAGAAGTCTGTTGTCTTTAAGAACATTTTGCCTGTTGCTGTACAGAGTTCCTGAAAAAGACCCATACAGACACTGGATGGATGATCTCTAAAAGGTGTTCACAAACAACTGCCTAAATAAAGGGCAGTTGGGAAAAAAATTGAAAAACCAAAAATTGAATAAGCTATGCAACAGAATTATGAGATTCCAGATAGAGCAATATCTCACAGAATTAATAATCTATTACATTTAAATAGGCAGAGACTGTGTCACTCTGGCATCTACAGATCCATTCATCCTTTTGATTTTTTTTAAAGCAAATTAATTGTCAACAGTTAAGAATCAAATGTTTCATATTAAAATTCTGATTTCTAACTTCTGTTTAAAAACCCTAAGATCTGGCAATGCTGGGCTCGCATTCTCAATGACAAACATGCGTGGAACTGAGTATGCCTCACTTTTGTAAACTGCAGGTCAGCGGGACCCCCCACTCCTCCATCGGCCACTGAGGCCAGGGGATGTCGACCCTTATCACTGAACTTACACCATCAACCACAGTTTAAACCATTCTACATCCTACGTATGAGAGGGTAGAGCAGCAGGTAAATTCACTGTAGAAAAACAAATCCATCAGAACTGCTGAAATCTTTTTTAAGGTCATTTAACCATAGCCATCGATTTAAAACATTTGACCCAGGGTACAAACAGATATGCACCAAACACAAAATATATATACATCCAAGGTTGTTCATTGTAACATTGTTGAAATAGCAAAACACCGGAAGCTACTTAAATGTTCATCAGTAGGAGACTGGCTAAATAAATTATGGAATCCCACACAATGGAATACTGCACCGTTATTTTTAAAGGGAGAGAAAGAATAGAGTAGGTCTATTGTGTACCACTCAGAACTGTCTCCAAGAATGTATTTTAAGAAACAAAAGAAAGAAGGGGGGAAAAGGAAGAAAGAAAAGCCAATGATTTGAAGGACAGTATGTATAGTGTCATTCCATTCATGGGAAACACTTTTAAGTGAAAAATGCATGTAACTGAATAGAAATTTTCTGGAAGGATATGCATGACCAAGAGCTATATGGGAAGTATGTAAAAGAGGCATAGGGAAGAGCTACTTTTTAACCTTTCACTCTATAACCTTCTGTCTCTTTTTAAAATCATGAACATGTGTTATTTTTATAATATAAAAAAGATAGTTTAAAAATTAGAACAAAAACACATTGGTACTGAAAGTAAAATTCCAATTAGGAGTAAATAAATTTCTAAGAAAACTGTCATCCTCCAACAATGTCAGAAAAATTAAGTGTAGCTATTTGACATTGACAGGGGGTCAGGTTGTCATGACTCATTGTGATTTCACATATGGAAATAAAATGCCCTCCTTCATCAAATTGGAGATATTCAATAACATTTATAGAAAGGACTCAACACTTGCCCACCCTTAGCAAGTGTTTAATAAAAGGTGCTATTCCCAGCCCTCCCAATGCTGTCCAATCCTGGCTTGTGTCAAACGATGACCGATGACCGATCTGGGATGGCCATTGCAAAACCCAAGATTTAAATTCCATCCTAAGTGTCTTGCCTTCTGGCCCACAGTCAGTCCTTGAAGAAGATCACAGAAGCATTTCTTCAAGCTCTGCAGATAGTACCACCTCCATACAAAAGGAATCCCATTGCATATTAAAGTTGCCGTTTCAAAGAGACTCCTACATGTCCATTTATTTTCCCCTGAAGATTTCCTACCCCTCTCTCCAACAAACCAGCTTGATGCAGATTAGGAGCTAGAGACTCCCACACTTCTTGCCTTCCCCCTACCCTTTACTGTTCAAGATCTCTTCCCTAATGTCCCCTGTGCTCTCCCAAAAGAAATGGTGCTAGAGGCCAAACATTGACCCTGCCCAGATGAGGAGGGGCCAGTGTGCACAGCGCTCCCAGGCCAGAATTCTTTTTTTGCAGAGCCCTTTGCTCTTTGGGGTGTGGCCTCCCTCACTCTCCCCAGAACCTAGGCTCCTGGATCTGGCTGCCTATCTCTGAGGTGATAGCTCTGAGAGCCTTTACTCCAGTCTTCCTTGCCAGCCCCACACACAGGGGAGAGTGCTGGGGAGAGTTCCCACAGTGCTTTAGCTCTGAACAGGGGTGGAGGAAGAGCAGTGTCATGCTACCCAGCCTCTGTTGTCAATAATTCATGAGGTTCAGACTGAGGGGCACCAGTCAGAGAGTCAGTTTTCCCAGATATAGGAAAAATTGGACTTAAGCTCTCTTATCTCTTTGGGATGTGCCAAGTACTACAGCTATAACTTCTCTGTTGAGAAATAAACTATAAATCCAGTGCATACTGTTATATCACTTGTTATCCATACATCCCCTTTTGAATGCTGAAATCCTTTTTTTGGCTGATCAGCTGACCTACACATATACTAAATAAATCTTTAGCAAGTATAAATTCTGTTGAACAGCGATCCCCCAAAACTGAATTTCACAGACCAGCATTCTCTCTCCTCTAATTGTAGGGACTGACATAGGGTTGCTAAACTGGTGATTTTACCAACTAACATTTTTTTTCAACCTACCCATCTGCTTTTGTCATCTTTTCTTAACAAAAAGAACTTTATGAAACTCACTATATTTTCTTTATTTTTTCATTTTGCTGTAAATTGGTGAAAAACTTCGCCATGGGTCAGCACTACTTCTCGGTCTGGCATTTGGAGGCCACTGGGTTAAACCAATTCAGACACTGGCACTTGGGTCTGTTGGGCGCCTTTCTGCAGTGTACCATAAGCCATCCAGATTTATTAATTTTCCCAGAAACCCAAGAGGGAGATCATTTCAGCCCACTTGGCAGAAGTGGAGGCTGCAGCCTTGGACATGGAATTTATAGCTAGAGAGGACTTTATTCACCATCTACTCCAGCAACAAGAATAATTACTTCATGGTGGCAATAATTACGATGTGTTTAGTAGTTTACAATTTATAAAGTGCTTTTACAGTCAACAAGTATTTATCGAACTAGCATGGAGGCTAAGACCTGGCTATGTAATGACTGTGGAGAAATGAGTGCTCCTGAGTTCTCTGTACTTCCATCACTGGTTGAGGAATCCTCTAGCCTCCTTGCTACCACTTAGGCCCTGTACAGTGGGAAAGTCCTGGATGGGGATGGGGGAGGGGGGAGGAGGGGGAGTATAAGAGGTCCTGTCCAGCCAGGATCTTTATCCCCATAGACTGGTTAAAACAGTGATCTGTCTGCCCTCCAGGCCTGTCAGGATGAAGGAGACTTTGAGGCAGAAGGAAAGGCAGCGCCCAGCGTAGCCCAGCTGCTCCCCATCCCGTCTCTCTTCCAGGCTCCTCCACCCTCACCTGGGACCCTCATACTGTGACTCCACGGGAACCACAGTCCTCACCTCCATGGGCAATCTCAAAATATTTGCCCTCCTTTGGGTTGTCATATATGTAAACCCAGACTCTCCCGGCCAAGGGGGTCCATCTTGAGGCTCTGGGAAGCAAAAGCAACCTACTCAAAGCTCCCTCTTCCCCCAGAAAAATGACACGGACAAGCAGATATGGAAGGAGGAGGGGAAGTCTCCTCCAGCCGTTGGGAGTGGACCCAACAGTAAAACTTGATCAGACAGCCCTGTCCCACACTGGATAGGCCGGGGCAGAGGACGGTTCCGCCCACGGAGAGCAGAAGCTGAGCTGGAGGAGCTGAGGGGGAGGAGCCGTTCCATCCAAGGACAGGTGCAGGCGCGCGCGGAGCAGAAGGCACCCCGGCCCTCTTGCGCTACTGTCACCTTCCTACTGTGACGCGGAACCTTTCATAACCAGCCTTCTCCATGCAGAGAGCGAGGCTGCTGCTGGGCTGCTGTGTCTCGTCGTGGAAGCCAGTGAGGATGGCCAGCTCCAGGGTGGCGCGCCAGGCCCCGCATGCGAATAAAGTGGCCCTGGTAACGGGCTCCACCGACGGGTGAGTGCCTGGGCCTGAGTCTTTGAGGCCCCCCACTGGCTGGAAACTGGTACTAACTCCTAGTTCTTTGCCTCCTGGGCAGGGCCGTGTGTCTTCAGGCACTCACGCAGCCAAAATCTGGTCCCAGAAGAAAGGAAACACGTTGGTGGGCCTGCAGCCCTTCCCAATCCCCTGGCCAGTTTCCTATCACTGCTGCCTCTGGCCCAACTGCGGCCACCTCAGTGCTGCCCCCATCAATCCAGTCTCCCAGCGCTCTGGGCTGTCCCAAACACCCTGCCCCACTTAGAGTCTAGGAAGACCGTACAGACGCCAGAAATCCAAGGCAGTCCGGATTTCAAAAATCCTAGCCCCCTGCCTCAATGGACTATGGAAATGATCCAGACACCCCATTGGGGCACCCGGACAAGTCTCCAGAACCACAACCCACACCACTTACCTAGACAGACCACAAGGCCCATGTATCCTGATTTTTGTTCAGTTCAGTACATTTTCACCTCCCTTGCCCAGACTGTTTCTCACCCACCACTCTTGTCTACACTGCTTCTCATTCCCACAGGACTTTGCGAGACGCCAGCTGTAAACAAATCTAAAATACACATGTACTCAAATCGTTAATGGCTAACAACTGCAAAATGTGTAACCCTTACTCCCAGAGGAGTAATATAAAAAATTTACATTTTTAACTAGAGATTCACCCTTTCATCTGCACCCCAAAACATAACTGAAAATAGAATTTTTTAAATTTTTTTTTTTAGGCGAGGCAACCCTTGATTGACTTCACAGATTGCAAGGACCTTGTCAGCTTACAATCCTTTATTTATTTATTTATTTATTTATTTAAT